ACATTCAACATTGTTCATTTAACCGCTTGAGGACTGGTACTCTATGTATACGTCGACTTTTCAAAAGTAATCGTAACGCTTGACAAGTGTTTGTATATCTTTCACATAATATACCGCACTACATATATTTTTGGTTTAATATGAAAAATAATTCATAACTTGGTAGCAGCTTATTACCTGAAGGTTGTGTGCAATCAGAATTTGGAATCTTTTGACAACTAAATATAAGAACAGCTCAAAAGTGAAAGGCGTAACCAAAGTAGACATACAGCTGTAAAAAACACGAATTCGCTTTCAGTCAATATTAGCATAGTAAATCTATTTAAAAGTAAGGCTTCTCAAATCTGCGATAAATTACCCTTGACCAAACTAAAATTGGATGTAATGGCAGTTCCGTGAATGAATATGCATTAATATCGTTTCAAAAACATTTAGTTTGTTATTGAATTAAAACTTAACTATGCATAATAAGATTAGCTAATGTTAATACATGAATGTGACATGGATATTACAAGTTCCAAGATATTATTTCGTACGAGGCATTTTAGAGTAAAATACATTGGATGAATTGGAAGTCCGGAGGTTTTTGTGAATAAGCCGTTTATATGACGGGTGAAGAATTTTATTATGGGCTTATATCTCTCTTCACAGTAGAAATCAAACATATAAACGGAGTGCTTCATTCACTTTATTTTCCCCGTTTACTGCTATAGAAAAACAAAGCGCAACCTCATAGTTCAGCAGGCAAACTTAGAAAGTCGTGGAAAACAAAAACAATATAGCATTGAAAGTTTCATTGAGTAAATAGATAATCACTCTTGCTGAGTCCAATTATTATTATATGGCCGTCATCATTCTCAAGTTCATAGGCACGATCGAGTTGGACTTGTGCGTCTTTGTATCTGCCTTGACATTGATCAATCCACGCAAGATTGTACAAAATGTGAACTTCATCTTTGTAATCAGTTTTCAGCAAATTCTCGAAATAGTCTCGTGCTTTGTCATACTGACCGATGATAACGAGAAATTCACCCAGTTTTATTGCTGGTGACAGATTCACCGTATGTTCACGATAGAAATCGATGTATTCTTTGCTGACAATATTGCGATCTTTGTCCGAGCCCGCCAAACGGATAATCCATATCTGTTCGGTGTCATTATATACGACGCTCGAGACAACGAATGTAGTGCCAAAGTCAAACAGAACTTCTTGCTCATCGATCATTTTACTCAAACAAGATATGTCGGCGAATACAATCGATTATATATTCTCTCACAGCTGTCCGTTACCGTGCCACACACACAAGGTAAAGGCGATACACGATTTTTGCAATTGAAATATTGCTCGCAGTGTGTCATGTCCAGCTATCGTTACTAAATATCGAGAAATACATGACTCACGTACGACGTGTTTAGCGAATCTTTTACTTACGACATCGATGAATAAAATTTTCTGACGGATTAAATGGACGTAACGGTTGCTGTGCTTTCACTTCCGAGTTTTTAGTTGTAATTAAAACTAACTTCGGTCTAGAAAAACGCACAAAAACGATATTTTATAGTTAGATGTGCCCTATATACACTTACATCATTCCGCCTGTAAGAAAATCATGTTTAACAACTTCAAAGTATATGGGATTACGAGGTGCAATTTTCTCGTTCTTAATGCCTCTTGAAAACGTATTTGTATGAAAGTAATATTGCCCATTAGGAGATACGGTCAGCAATAAATGAGGCATGCTTAAATAATATTCAGACAGCTAAATGTGAAGAAAGACAGAATATTATAGAAGACGATAGGAGCAGGTATACTTCGATAATAATATGCTTTTTTCCATCTTTATCTTGTAGATAATGTGGTGACTGCGGTATACCAAAATTCTTTTCACTTAATGGAAACACATCAGATATGTACTGCCCACTGAAAAACTCATCCAATGTATTTTACTCTAAAATGCCTCGTACGAAATAATATCTTGGAACTTGTAATATCCATGTCACATTCATGTATTAACATTAGCTAATCTTATTATGCATAGTCTGTATTTTTTAGTTTTGGAAAGTTAAGTACTTTTTTCTTATGAAGTTATAAAAACTTTTCTCGTGTACGATAAACTTCTAGAAAACGTATACCTTAACATTTTGACTTTAACACGCATTTTCATGTGTACAAAACTTAACTATTAATAGATAGCTGAAAAGATCCTTTTTATGTCAGGAATATTCTATTTTTTCCATCAATAAGAAATTAAAGTCATTCAAATGTGTCGATTGGGACCATTTTCGCTATGTTCTATTTCATTTTCTATGCAGTATATCTTTAACTCTAAAAGCAGCGTAAATAAACAAGTAGAACAACTACAGAACGCTATTCTTGAGGCAGCAGATAAAACACTACTGCACAAAATCATAAGGATTAGGAATGGAGATCAGCCATGGTTTTCGGACAAATTACGAACATTGTTAAGGAAACGAAATTTAGCATTTCAACAGTATAATAAAAAAGACACAGTTCATAGTAAACAGAAATATTTCCAGATATCTGAGGAATTTGAAGATTTATGCAAATAGTTACAAGAAGATTACATCGAACGGATAAATAACGCGAAAAGCACGAGTAAGCAATGGTGGGGAGCGGATTTCTGCATGAAGCCTGTCAAAACTAGAGTTGCCGTATGTCAGCCATTTTAAGTCAGAAACACACTAAATTTTTAGGAAACACTTAGAATAGTGTATTGATGCTGAGCGAATTCTTAAATATGAGATTCAGCGGGTTTAAATGTCGGAGGGTTGGAAACCTCCTGTGAAACCTCAGCTTGGAAATCCCACAATTTTGCAGTTTTACAAGCGCTATCTGATTTACGGTCATTTTTCATATATCTACCGAAAATTTGGGGTGTTTCTGACTTAAAATGGCTGACATACGGTAACTCTAGTTTTGACAGGCTTCATGCAAAAATCCGTTTTTTCTTGAAAAATACCCTGATGACCTTGGATCAACTTCTCGTCAAAAACAAACATTGACACAGCGCAACACTGTGTCACCAGTGTTACGCTTTATCCATGGCGCTGCCACACTTTTATCTTGGCATGATCTCCAGCATGACATTTCTACACGTTTGGCGTGATAGTGTCATACTTTTAACTTAACCATTGTAAAGCTCCTTTGTTTTATTATGACTCATCTCTGCTTGTTGCTGGTTAATCTAGTGTTATGTTACTTACAGTTTATGTTGTGTTTTTATGTCAACATTATGAATTTTTGCAGTGAATTTATTTTTTATTTTTTGTATGGTCATTTTTTTCTACGAAATGTGAATGTAGTGATTCAGTGAACTACACGTCGTAGAAAAGTTTTGAAAACGCGAGAGTGTTTCCTAGACACTGAAGATTGATCATTGATTGCTCGTTTATTTCAAACTGATATGGAATCAGTGTTATAAGGTCCAAAAGCGGAAGAAAAAAAGTGTCAAAAACTTAGAAATTTTTCAAATATTTTTTGTCCGGCGCCATTTAGTAAAAAGAAAAGAAAAAGCTTTCCTTTTAATTCATTTTTCTGTTTAATTCAACTCTATCTTTTCAGCTGCTCGATAAGAAACTAACATCGAACGCGGTGTAGTGCAAACCTGTTCGCTGTGGAACCGCTTTCGGCAACTGCCAGTAGAGACAGAATCTGTTGACATCGCAACTTGTGCGCTGCACAGTCGCAATCGAGTTTCTTGTGTTTTTGCGCTCGTTTTTTTTCAGATTTATTAATGGAAGAACTTGTAGATTTGTTTACCAATCATGAAATTGATCGTACTAAAATAGTGCGCAGCGTTATGCAAAATTATTCATAGAAAATGATATAACTTATCAAACAGTTCCTGAAATAAGTGATATAGAATGGCAAGAATTAAATGTAAAAATTGGCCATCGAAAAATTATTAAGCAAATTGCCGCTGCTATTCTGATTAAAATAATAGAAGATAAAGCGCTTTCCCCTGATACTATGACTGGTTTATCAGTTACAACTGAAACGCAACATGATGAGAGTTTAGAGTATGTAATGTGAGGTCTCGAGAGAAAGATGAACAGAATAATGAAGATAATGCCACGGTCAACGCTGATCAAGAAAAAAAAAAGAAAGAAGAGAATGTTATCTGTTCAAGTAATAATCGCATCCTATTTCGCGAGTATTTAATAATTTGACTGTTTAATGTGAGAACGAAATTGATGTGCAGTTTGATAGAAAGAACAAAAAAGGGATTTAGCGTTTTGGCTTTATAGCTGGATTAATTATATACTATTTTCGTCTAGATTTATATAAAGTATCCATGTGACGTACCGAAATATTCATTAGCAATACTAGAAGCACTCAAAATACCAGGTACTTCATTTAAAATAACTGCCTGTTTCTTTCTCAGATATTTGTGTTTGTAGGCGGATTTAATACATTATCTTCAAAATTATGCAGACAAAAAAATCTGCAACTGATTATAAAAATTACTGTTTACTGTTGCTCGATTTTGGATAAAGTTGAATGTACGGATTTAAAAAATGAAAATCGATATGCAAAACCATAGGTAACTTACCCACCTAAGTTAGGTTTCCTGCGTGGTAAAGAGACATACGAATGAATTTTCACCAACAAAATCGGATCTAATTTGAGCTTTTTAACCGGTCACCCGATAAAAATGAAACTAGTTCGGTTTACTTCTCGGATTTTTCGCTATAAATAAACAAAGCGAACAGATAGGTAAACGCCAAGAACGAGCTGAAATCCCTTCAAAAGTGATTTTTCAAATGATAAGATTGTCACTTTTAATTATGAGAAGGGAATGCCCCGTACTTTTTCTTATATCTAAATTCAGAAACAATTTTGCGGTTTACTTTTAGAAAGTATTATCCAAGTTGTTATCAGATAAAGTTCGGACAGCACGTTATCGATCGTTGATCAAAGGACAAAATATAATAAAAAAAAGTCAAGCACAAGCTAAAGAAAGACAAAAATCGTTATTATCCAATAAATCTCAAAATAATAATAAAAAACAAGAATATGGTTAATACCCAGATCAAAAGAACAACATGTTGTGTTAAGTTCTCAATCTGCTAGATCGTCATCATTTGACAATGATGTTGACTTAACAACAAATGTAATCCAAGACAACGATGAGTGTCTGCTCCTTCAAATTGATAATGAGATAGAAATATTGGGTATGCTGTTTTTACAAATGTTATTTTTAGGGTTTTCCACTAGGAGAAGAATTTTTCCTGCATCTTCATCGGATAGGTAACAGTCTTTTACCCACAATGGGGCAGGGGAATTCATACAACTCTATATTGATAAAATTTTCAAGATTAGCAGAAAGAATTCAGAAATTAGCATCGAATTCTTTTCAATTTATGAAATTTCAAAACGTCAGAAGAATTTTTCTTAATTCGAGACTTCAGAAATTGGAATCGCCTTTTTCCAATTTGAGAAATATTCAAGGATTCAGAAATAAACATCAAGCTTTTTCTGAATTCATGAATTCAACAATTCAGAGACACATTTTATTTTTTTCAATTCAAACAATTCAAAAATTTAAAATGTGACTTTTTATCAATTTCTTGAATTTGAAAAAGTTAAAAATTCTTTGAATTTGTATCTAGTTGATTTTGAGCAATTCTTGGAATTCAAGTATTCAGGAATTGAAAGAATGCATAAGTTTTTAATTCCAGAAAGTCACAAATCCACAAATTAGTTGGATCAGGGTGGAAAGTAGAAATCCTAAAATTATGTATCCTTTCAATTTCTGACTACTTGAATTCCGAGGGCTCTCAAATTATCATTTCTAGTATAATGATAACTTTTCAGTCAAAATCTGAAATTCTCGATACTCTGCACTATACAGAATTTCAACAGAGCAAACATTTCAGAATTTCAAAATGTCAGGATCTCAGAATTTTAGAATGTCATCGCTCCTTCATCTCCCAAATATTTACAATTTCAGACGTATATGACAACACTATTCTTTGAATTAAAAAATATTGGAATTTCAGAATCCAAGAAGTGTAGAATAACACCGGAATACACTTACAACTTCAGAATATAAGAAGTTTAGAAAATCACAATTCTTTGAATTGCAAAATAATTAGAAGCTCAGAATTTCGAAAGTTTACAGCAACACTCTTCTCTCAAACGAAAAATATTTAGAATTTCAAAATCTCACAAATCTAGAGTAACATTATTCTTTCGATTGAGAAATATTTACAGTTTCACAAGCTCAGAATCTTAGAACTTTACAATAACACTGCTCTATCAATTCTAAAATCTTTAGAAATGCCAGCATCTCACAAGTCTAGAGCAACACTATTCTCTCAAATGAGAAATATTCAGAATTTCAGAGTTTCAAAAATTATACAATCTCAGAATCTGAGAACTTTACAATAGCACTATTCCGTGAATTCTAAAATATTTTGAATCTCAGAAGTTTCGAGTATCACTATTCTCACAATTGACAAATCTCTACAATTTCAGAATCGCAGAACCTCGGAAGTTTTGAATAACACTGTTTTATGAATTGCAAAATATTTATAATTTCAGAATCTCAGAAGTTTACAGTAATTATTCTCTCAATTGAATAATATTTAGAATTTCACAATTTGAGAATGTTAAAATCTCCGAACTTTAGAATAATGCTGTTCTTAGAATTCGAAAATATTTAGATTTTCAGAATCGCAGAAGTTCAGAAGCTTAAAAGTTTGGGAGGTCAGTATCGTTTGAATTTCGAAATATTCAGAGTTACAAAGTCTCAGAATTTCTGAATTGAATATTGCATAGTAAAGGAGAAAATGTCCGGTCTAAAATAATCCCGAAAAAAACAATTCTTAAGTTTTTGTTAGCACGCAGTATTTCATGTATTAACTCACACTCATCAAATTTTTTCAGCTTTTCAAATTGTTAAATTGCGAAATTCTAAGTGTTTGTAAATTCAGAAAAACGTGGGATCGTAAATTTCTCAGATTTTGAAATTGTTTGAAGATTGGAAGTCTAGTGTTCAAAAAATTCAGAAATTCCAGAGTTTCTGAAAATTCGAAAAAATGTGAAGCTCTGACTTTCTTAAGATTCTGAAATTCTAGCAATTGTGAAATCCTGATTTTGTTGATTCCTGCAATTCTGGAATTCTAGCAGTTTGAAATTCTGAGGTTCTCACGATTGTGGAATTGTGAAATTTCTGAGATTCTGAAATTCTGGAAATTCTATAGCTGAAGTTCTGGAGGTCTTGATTTTCTAGGACTATTGTACGCGAGTTATTTTGAAATTCTCGTTAGCGTAGAATGTCAAAAAATTAATACTTTAGTCCTAAGTCATCCTTATACTGTACAATGATAATTTGACAGCTCTGTGAATTTCAAGAATTGCTCAAAATCAACTAGATACAAATTCAAAGAACTTTTAACTTTTTCAAATTCAAGAAATTGATAAAAAGTCACATTTTAAATTTTTGAATTGAAAAAAATAAAATGTGTCTCTGAATTGTTGAATTCATGAATTCAGAAAAAGCTTGATATTTATTTCTGAATCATTGAATATTTCTCAAATTGGAAAAAGGCGATTCCAATTTCTGAAGTCTCGAATTAAGAAAAATTATTCTGATTTTTGAAATTTCATAAATTGAAAAGAATTCGATGCTAATTTCTGAATTCTTTCTGCTAATCTTGAAAATTTTATCAATATAGAGTTGTATGAATTTCCCTGCTCCTTACTCTTTTTACCTTGGCCTCGTACATTGACGAAAAGAAGTTATTTTCTTCTTTTGGATCGGATAAATACTTGTTAGCAAAAATTTCAATACGTATTCAAGCATTCTCTTCCTGCTAGTTTCTCTCAGAACAACATTATATATTTTTGTTTTCGTATATTTTTTTAGCTAGCAATGGTGTCTTGAAAGGTACATCATCGGCAGATTCTATCACGACAAATGACACAGTTGGCAAACAATCTTCTTGCGAAAGCCCATTATCAAATATGTTACCAAAAATTGATCCAAACATATCACAATACACGTTAAGTGAGGTGACAAGGGTAGTTAAAAACGTTAGACAACTATTAACCGATGAAGATGAAAACGACGATCATGATTATTCAATACAAGGGTTAACGTGTGTTGGTAAGTCTGCTTGCTTTGAAAAGGCAATTATGATCTACCTAAATCTTAAAACTTAACTGTTTTGTAATCTGAGTCCTTAAAATTCCCTTCTAGCGTTTACTTTATCATCCATCTATGCGTTCTCCCTGTGCAAAATTCAGTCGATGAGTCCTGCTGTCGCCGTTTATTTTAGCCAAATTCTCTAGCTCCGCAGCACGACTTAGTGATTTGCGAATAGTTTACCAATATAGACAGTTATCTATATTACTGTCATTTGTAATTAGACTGCGACTGTTTTTTTACTCTTTTAGAGCCATCTAGATCGTCATTTAAAAGCCAAGAAAATACACATGAAACTCGTACAGAAACACTTTCAACTGAGTCCACTTTAGCAAAATTAACAACAGCAAACGACGTAATGCCTAATCAACATAAATTTGGTAAATATTTTGTATAAAAGTGAGCTTCCCTATTATTATAGTAACTCTTTCTTTTTTTCAGATATAAGTGAATCCGAACTTAAATATTATTTGAATGACTGTGATCAGTTAAACAAATTAAAACGATCAAGAAGTGAACCTCTATCAGCGATAAAAGCACTGATACGAACTTCACATCGGCTACGCAGACATCAGATAGAAAAGGACAAAACATTAAGTATTGAACAGAAAATAAACAAATATCCAGAATTATTGGATGAAAGAATGATATGATAAATCTTGCTTTTTCTCTTTTATATTCTTTTTTTATTCATAGGTCGTCAGTGAATATGAAGAAATCACAAAGAAATCATTAGAAGAATTATTAGAATCATGTCGTCAACGACTGAATGCTTTAATACAATTTTATCAATTACGTCAAACAAAATCTAACACTCCTAAACTGCGCAACAGAGGAAACTAAGTGAGTTTTGAAAATATGAAGCAGTTTGGTTGAGAAATGAACGTGGGAGAAAGTTTTCATTCTGCGACGGTTACAGCGGTAAAACAGAACTTTCTGAAAAAGCCATCTTTTGAAGTTTCTCTATTCCAGACAACAAAACAAACATTGCCATGAGATTCCCCATGGCCGAAAACCTATGTATCAAGTTATTTGAAAATTCCGTTACGTAACAGAAAGCAAGTCTAGAGGGTACCAGGAAAATCCGAGCCTTATCCGAACGGTTAGAAGTACAAAACTGGGACTTGCGCAGAAATGTAGCGAACAGTTCGGAAGTTCGAGCCATATTACGAGCATTGGAAATTTTTCTGTTTCTATAGTTTAACAACCTTCTCTTTCAAACATTAGTAAGGTACATCACCTTCCGGTGGTATACGGAACTAGAATTTTCACAGAACCATTCTGTTAGGTCTTGGGTACACGATGGCGGAAACAGCAAGTCTCTGTCTGATTTCGTTAAAAGGTTATTAAAAAAATGAGTCACTTCGTTGTAAATTTTACAGGACGTCGGATAACATATATCTCGCATATACTCGACGTGGGCTATTAGAAAAACACGTTTTCATCTTTGGCCAAGCACTTTCGAAATAGACCAAAATCCTGTGGAATTTCTGCTGAAAAACACGCTTTTCTGAAAGGGCTTGGCCAAAGATGAAAACGTGTTTTTCTAATAGCCCACGTCGAGTATATGCGAGATATATGTCATCCGACGTCCTGTAACCCCGTGGAATGGTGCAGCACGTAGTCAAACTATGAAAAACGAGGAAAATCGCCTTTAGAAGTTTATTTTTTCTATCATTGAATGTTTTTTAATCTCAGTGAGAACCACTTCATCGGATAGAGCTTGCAAAGACGCGTCGAATGTATATATTGCGGCCTTGTGTTGACATGATTTTATGGGAAAATATCGTTTAGAAAAAAGGTCTACTTTTCGGAAAAAACGATTTTTTTAAAAATTTCCCTGAGAGCGTACTTAACATTTTGGAACTTTGTGTCCGTTAGTGATTTTGTAGCTCTACACATATATAATCTAATCTGACGGTATCAGCTCATGAAAGTGCTTCACTAAAAAATGGTAAAAATGCCCACAAAAGGTCTATTCTGCTGGAAAATGGGATCTTCACAGATCTAGGAGGTCACCGTGCCGTTGTTTTAGAATCTGTTAAACATGATATTCGTCAATCAGGAGCTCAAGTTGTACTAGTCCTCTTACTCTCGAACAATCCGGATAAAGTCGATGTAAACGTGGTACATTTCCGAAAGAATCGCCCTTCGCCACTGAGCAAATTCATTTATTCCAGATCAGGAGCGAAAAATCAGAATTTTGCCTGTCATCCTCCTTGTTTAGCTCGATGTGCTGATTACAAATCTCGCAAATTTTTACTGAAAAGTATTTTCTGATTAAAAAAAATGGAGTTTGTAAAATTCGACCTTTGTACTGCTCCGCCTACTATAAGTTTTTTAAATGAATGAAGTTTGAAAGAATTTCGATAACTCTTTAGCAATATGTTACATAGCAGGGGTCAAGTTCTTTCCGGCAGTATGATACTTTGCGCTTAAGTGTAACTCTTTTGTTCTCAATCTTGTTGGAAAATATGAAGTCCAATGTTCAATTGGACTAATACTTTTACTAGAGACAGACAATCGGAAAAGAAACTTTTTCTCTCTAGTGTATGATATAATCTTCCATGGGTTTTCTGGAGACCCCAGTTATTATCCATTCATGTTATGACCACTCGAAAAATCGTCCGATCGAACCGAAATTTACCAGAGATACCTCAGACCCTATCTCTGATTCTAATTGTTTTTTTGAAAAGCTATTTTCCTTCACAACATATTGGAGAAATGATGGAAACCAATGTAAAAGCACCTTTTGGGATTTTGAAGACCTTCTCACGCCAAGATTTGAAATTGAAATCACTTAAAAAATTGAGTAATTTTACTGATAGTCCTATGGGACTGGCAGTAGCAAAAAGGTTATTGACAGTCCCAAAATGCGCTTACACACACAGTACATTGGTGTACTTATTTTTGCATAGGATAGTATTTTTCTTTTCCAGAAAATCGTACTATTATCGAAAACAAAATACAAGACCAGGCATATTGGATATAGGACCCCAGCCCGCGAGCCGGTGTAGAAAATCTGAATCGACAGTTCGATTCAGAATGTTTTTCTCTTACTATACTGAAATGCTCAGCCCCGATCCTTTTAATTTATTTATAGAGCGCTCGTGTCTACATACATTTATTGTATTCGTTTCGTACGCTAACCAATAGAAATCCAAGATGGCTGCCATGCCTAAAATTCTACGTAGAACGCTTGCTTTACTCAAAAATAATGGAAAAAGTGGCATTTCTTGCATAATTACTGAACAAAAGGACTAATTACCTTTTTTCCGCCACCTGCGAGAGAAACAGGCTTGAGCGCGCACGCTTAGTGCGAATTTGGCGCTAAATAGCCCTAATTACTTCTTTCCGCTCTTGCATAGTTCTTTTGTTAGACGGTCATCAAAACATTTTCTGGAATTCATGTGGTGTCTGTGTGAAATTCTGTAGTTCAACTTGATGTTTAATCTTATCGTCACCGCTGATTGTGCATACTCGTTATGAGTTACATGTTTCATCTTTTTGCATCATGTTCCCGAAGAAAAAGCCGGGTAAAACATCACGCAGTAACTAGATAATTCAGTTCTTCAGAGACGTAAACCAAATTTTTTTTCCATCAAGTATGTCAGTGGTTAGTCACTCAGTTTTAGAGATGATTAATTGAGTTTGTCATCGTAAAATTCAGCTCACTTTCCTCTGTTGAGAAATATAAAAAGATCTAATGATTTGCCGAGAAGCTGTGTTACAATGAGCTGATAATAAAGGCGCGAGACTCTCATTGGAACTAGGCGCATTCATTCAACCCATTCATATTAAGTTTGCCTGGGATGATGCGAGTTTTCATTTTGCCAATGAGTAGCTACAGAAAAAATCGATCTTTAATTTATTTTATTGAGAAAGGACGGATCCGTACAAGCTAAAGAATCGGCCCACTTTTTTTTGCTCGAAATGGTCCTGTGACTAGCAGAAAACCACGAACATTTGATTTTAGATGCTTTCGAGTGATTAAAGCCGTTCCATCCGAATAGGATCTTCACTTGGAAGCTGGCACTACGGAGCACTATTAAAATCCTTCTAATGCGCTTTTCTCTGGCACTATAGGAGCATATAAAGAAATCAGCCCACAATTAGAAAGCTCTTTCAATTCTCTACAAACTGGTATATTCAGAATATCTTTGCCGATTTGTAAAAGATCGTTAAGTTCAACATAACAAGTATGACTAGAGAAAAATGCTACCTGGGAATCATTAAACTAATTTTTTTCGAAAAAACGAGAAAACCGATTTTTCTAAAATAGTCCGTTTTATAGCCCGTTTAATTCTCTACAAACTGGTATATTCAAAATATCTTCGTTGATTTGCAAAAGATCGTTAAGTTCAACATAACATGTATAACTACAGAAAAATACGACCTGTACATCATTTAGGCTAACATTTTTCGAAAAAACAAAAATAATCCATTTCTCTAAAGTAGCCTGTTTTAAAGCTCTTTCAAGTCTCTACGAACTGATGTATTCATTCATAATGTATTATGTTTGATCACAAGAATTTTGCAGGAATGAGAAAAACTAAACATACAACGGGTGCAAAAAGTTATTCGTCCATCTTTCTTTTGCATTTTTCTCGTCGATCATAGTAGCTAGAGCAAATTTGGAAAAAGATTGTACAGCTGAAAAAATTTCCAATCTGATGAAGTATACATAAAGATTCCATCGGAACTTCTGAAGCTAGGGTCTCTGGAAAACCCAAATCTCAGAAAACAAAGTCCCCCTGTTCGATCTAGAAATTCTTCACAAATAACTTTATCATATAGAGTAAACATTTCTGAACAAAATAAGGCGTCTTCGGGCTCTCTGTGACACTTTTTCATGAAACACCATTCAATTTACGAAAGGCCCTAAGTTCGAAACTTTCTTGCTTGGGCCTTCGTTAATTGAATGGCGTTTCCTGAAAAAGTGTCACAGAGAGCTCGAAGATGCCTAAAATCAAATGTTTGTGGTTTTCTGCTAGGCACAGGACCACTTTGAACAAAACAAAGTGGGTCGATTCTTTAGCTTCTACGGACCCGTCCTTTGCCTTAAAACCATAACCAGTGTAAACGAAGAAGCTTTATTAGATATCGGAAAAGTTCTAAAAAATAGATAATATGCGAATTTGATATTAACTTTCCTTTCTAAAAATACTTTTGTTCATTTTTTTCGACAACATGATGTAATCAACTTTTGGAGTTTTCATCGATCATACGAGCTCTCCCCATGCTGCTACATACCCATTATGCATTAAACATTCTACCCTTTTGCGAAGGAAAAACCGGGTAAAACATCGTGCAATAAGTAGATAATTCAATTCTTCACAGAATTATTAGTTTAATTTATTTTATCCAGGAAAAGCGACAGCCATTAAAGGTCCGCGACCTAGAATGACTCAAGCCAAACACAAATAAATAACAAAAGAAATATTATAATAAGATATGAATATCAAATCAAGAAGAACTGTGAAGAAGCAAAGTGGAGACGGTTGGGCTTCTCGCTTCGGGTTCTGCTAAGATCAAAGACCACATAGAGAACTAAAATATTGAAGAACTCATTTTCAGTTTTCTCAACACCAAATATTTTACCGTGAAGATCAGTTATGTGCAGGATTTTAAGTAGGTCAGATCCGTTCCTCCG